CACCAGACCGTGCTCTGCCGTCCCTCAGCGGCACAGTGCCTCCTCTGTAATGGTGAAAAAGCGTTTGCCCACAAAGAACCAAAATAAATTGGTTTTGATTTACTTATTTTTATTTTGTGTATGAATATTATGCCGGCATGTGTGTGAGTGCACCCGCGTCATGAGGTGCGTGTGTGTGTGTGAGTGCACCCATGTGCTGCGATGCCGAGGAGAACAGAAGAAGATGTTGGATCTCCTGGAACTGAAGTTATAGACAGTTGTTAGGCACCATGTGGCTGCTGGGATTCCATCCCTGGTCTTCTGCAAGAACAACCAGTGCTCTTAACCACTGAGCCATCTCTCCAGTCACAAAATTATTAAAAAGATGTGTGTATCTTTCCTTCTGGAAAGTTCCTGCCTCTCAGATGGACTTTCTGGGCTAACTGTTCATATGTCGCGCCACAGACCCAGCAGCGAAGCCCAACACCACGCGGCGAGGCAACTTCAGCAAGACAAATCATCGTTCCCAGGTTCCTCCCCAAACAGACACAAAATGCCACTTCTTCCAAGCCGTCACCCCATTTTCTCCATTTCTGTCCCTATTCTGGGCCTGGAGAGATCCTTAGCTGTCACTTCTTCAAGAGGTAGATGTCAGGCCAGGCACGGTGGCACACCTTTAATCCCAGCACTCCGGAGGAAGAGGTAGGCGGATCTCTGAGAGTTCCAGGCCAGCCTGGTCTACATAGAGACTCCCAGACCAGCTGGGGCTACAGAGAGACCCTGTCTCAAAAATGACCCCCCCCCGCCCCGAAAAGAGATAGATATCTACCCATCAGTGCTAACGTGCTCCCTCCCCACACATCAGTCAATGCCTCCTCAACTTTGGAAGAGAGGACCCACTCTCAGTAGTTAGTCTGTGGATTTTAACACAGCACAGTGCCTTAGCTGCATTTCTGATGTGGTTTGAATGTGAAATGTCCTCACGGGCTCCTGTGTCTGAACACTTGGTTCCCAGTTGGTGGTGCTGTTTGGGAGGATGTAGAACCTTCAGAGCCTCCCAAGAGGACGTGGTCAGGGGAGGGGAGGGTGTTGGTTCATCTTTTATAGTCCAGCCCTGCTTCCTGTCTGCTTCCTGCTTCCTGAGGACACAGTGGCCAGCAGCCTCATAGCCACTGAGGTATCTTCTCCACCACAATGGGCCATATCCCCTTGAACTGTGAGCCAGAACAAACCCTTCCCCTCCTAGTTGCTTCTCATTTCATCACTGCAAAGAGAAAATTAATTAACAGTCTCTCACCCAGACTTACATCTCTTAACCAGACCTCTCCCTCTCGCCATCTGTCTGCCTAGGCAACAGTATGTACCTAAGGGATCCTCAGTGAATGAACCGGCTCTGTCTACACCTTAAGCAAACCATCTGTCATTCAAAATCTACACTCTCTACTAAGCACTCAATAGGAGCAGGGAATCCGAGATGAAGAGACAAGTGAGAACCAGCTCTGCCCTCCCAGGACTGAGCAAGCTGGAGGCAGAGCCAAGATGGCCGCACACGTAACTTGTGGCAAACAATGGTATGACAGACACACGGAAACACTACAGTGTGGACACCAGAGTGGAGCAGGGCTTCGGTTTTGGAGGTGTCCTGGGAAGGAGTCATGAGAAAAGGCGTTGAAAAGTCTGATGGTGCCACACAGTTTGCAATAACCACCCTGAACTGCCACAGCCACCTTCGGAGTCAGGGTTTATAGTCCCATTTTATAAATAAGGAAATCAGAGCTCAAAGCAGTTGAATAATGAAGCCAGAAGTCACATTTACAACACAGCAGGCTGATTCTCCTACCCCAGATCTCCCCCTCCACAGACACAGACAAAGAAATGACGACTGTAGCCCATGTCTGGTAAGGTCGTTGGCATGCACAAGGCCGTGGGTTCAGTGCCCCAGAACCAGCAAAAGAAAAAAGGATCACACTGGACAGAGGAGGAGCCTTCACAATACTAGGAGCAAACTCTGTTCTGTCTGGAAGGCAAGACTAGATCGTTCTCACCTGGTATGGTGGCATGTACCTGTAATCCCAGTACTTGGGAGGCTGAGGCAGGACTACAGAGCCTTCAAGGCCAGCCTGGGTTACGTAGCGAGACCCTGTCTTAAGGGAGTAGAGGGAAAGACCAGATTATTCTCCACTTTTTCTATAATATACTTGGAAATGTTATTCAAAAATTTTTAAAAATATTTATTATTTTATGTGTATGAGTGTATTGCCTGCATGTATATAAATGCATCTGTGTCATACAATGCCCACAGAGGTCAGAGGAGGGCGTCAAATTCCCTGGAACTGGAGTTATGGACAACTGTTAGCCGCCATGTGGGTGCTGGGAATCGAACCCAGGTCCTCTGCAAGAGGAGTCAGTGCTCTTAACCACTGAGCCATCTCTGCAGCTCCTGAATATGCATTTGTATCTCACCTAATCCCTGTCTCATAGGACAGATGTTACACATGTTCCCATTTTACAGATGTGATGCTAGATGCTGGGAGCCGGGGAGGAGCCTCTGCCAATCACAGGCTGGTGAACACCAGGACAGGGAAGAGCACCTCACAGGCCAGGCAGATGTCTTGAGCCCCGTGAGGTAACACCACGTCCCTGACAATGCTAAGCGGGTACTGATTGACTAACTGATGCTCATCCCACACACCCATGAACTCCAGTCTCCCAAGGAGAGCACCCAGCCCATCCTGGCTCAGCTTGTAAGTAAGGCACGCCTGGCTGTGAACTCCTGAGGACCCAGGCCAGAAGAGTAGCTTATGTAAAGCAGATTAGGACACGGGTTTGGGCTTCCGAGTCACAAACTAAGCCACTATGGTTGCAAAATGACACTTAAAATGACACCTAAAATGAGCTGGGTCTGATAATGTCAGGCAAAAATGAGACGGCAAGAAGAGGAAAGGCCAGATTGCAGTGTGCAGAGGCCGCGGGCCAACCAACCGCTGGGAGTGGGCCCTGGAGTCTGCAGCCCCCTGGGAAGGCCCTCTCCCTCCCTCCAACCATCCTGGAATCATCTTTCAGGAGGACCCATGCCATTGGCAGCATGCTTAATTTCAGTATTTACCACAAACTGGCCTCATAAAATGTAAACGAACAGGCAGTTATATTTGGCACCACCTAATTTTTTTGTGGACATCTTCAAAACAGCTCTGAGGTTGTACTTTTGTTTGTTTGATTTTCATACAGTATAAGATAAACTGTGGGTCACCACACCAGCACAGCATTTTTTAAGATTTTGATTTCCTGATAAACATCCTAGTGTCAAATGGCGTGGGAGTTGGGGTGAGAACAGTATGTCTCTGGGGTGGGATGAGAGACCTGCTCTGTTTTCCTTGTGAGGCTGGGAAGAACTACTCTTTGAATTCTACTTGTCGATTTTAGGTTTTTTTTTTTTAACCAAAGGAGCCCAGATTTTCAGTGTGGCCAAACTTTGCTCACAGGGACACTTGCTTAGCTGATGTTTGATGAATGTTTGCTGCTACCCAAGTCCTGGACTAAGCATCACAAAGGTATACTGTATCTCATTTAATACTCACAAGTCCACAAAGCAGGGGCTACAGTGGTTACCCCCATTTTACAGGGGAGGGAACTAAGGGACAGGTGAGTGTGAAGGAGAGCTCAGTCACAAGCCAGAGCAAGAAGGGGCCTCTTTCCCACCTCTATGAGTCTTGTGGGAAAACTGAATATTCAGAGGACGGAACTTGATTTTCTGTTTTGATCTTTTGAGACAGCGTCTCTCTGTAGCCCCAGCTGGCCTGGAACTCGATATGTAGCCCAGGCTGGCCTCCATCTCATAGAGATCCATGCTGCCTCTGCCTTCCAAGTGGTGAGATCAAAGTCGGGTGCCACCGGTGTGGTGGTTAGGACAGACTTCCGAAAGGTTTTGAATTGAAATGCCCACCATTGTATTAAATAAACCTGTTGGAATAAGCCTGTAATTCCAGCACTCAGGATGCAGAGGCAGGGGAATCACCCCTAAGGTAAGGTCAGCTGGGTCTATACAGCAAGTTCCAAGCCAGCCTGGTCTACATAGCAAGTTCAAGGCCTGCCAGAGCCACATAGTCACTCAATCAGTCAATCAATCACACTAACCTGCTTCCCTGACTTCCCCTGTTCCGTTAGATCCTGGTTTTTCCCCCAACTGCCTTCAGTAATTATTCTTACTCGGGAAGTCACGATCGCAGTTTCCCACTGAAGACACTGAGGAGTTTTACTGGAAAGAGCACGAGGGGAATTCCCCTGTTCCGTTAGATCCTGGTTTTTCCCCCAACTGCCTTCAGTAATTAGGGAAGTCACGATCGCAGTTTCCCACTGAAGACACTGCGGAGTTTTACTGGAAAGAGCACGAGGGGAGAGACTGCAAATTGCTCAAAACTGATCCGAAACAGACGCGGCTGGGGTTAGGGCGCTGGCCCGGAGTCCCGGGTTCGAGCCCCAGCCCGGGAGGATTGGGGCGATGGGCCCCCAAGTCCACTGCCCGCCTCGCCGAGGCTCGGAGGGGGCTGCGAGGCCGACCGGCCGCGGCCTGCTGGGCCCTGCGGCTCTTGCACCTGCCGCGCTCCCGGGCTTGGCGGGCGGCGGGTTCCAGCCCTCGGCTGCAGGGCCGCAGCATCCGATCTCCCTGTGCCGCCGGCGCCCTGGTTCCTCCCGAGAGGGGCAGTCCGAGCCGTGCGGGCTGCAGAGCGCGCAGACCCGGCGTGGGGACCCGCAGCTCCCGCTCTGCAGAGCCCACCCCCGCCCAGATCCCTGGAAATGCCGGGCTGCAGGGACCTGGACGCGCTGCCATCAGCCGGGAGCCTGGCGTCGCCATCCCGGGCACCCCGGCACCCCGGGTACCCAACATCCCGGCACCCCAGCCTCTCGGGCACCGCGGCACCCCGGGTACCCAACATCCCGGCACCCCAGCCTCTCGGGCACCGCGGCACCCCGGGTACCCAACATCCCGGCATTCCCGGCACGGGACCCCTCACGCCACTCACTTCGTGCCGCAGTCCCAGCAGCCGCCATCGCGCTTCCCGCCTGCGGCCCGGGCTCTCCCGGAGCAGGGCACCGGCTCCACCACGGCAGCCCTGCTGGGCGCACCCGGGTCTGCGCGCCAGGCCCCTGGGCGGGACGAGGGACCCAGGCGGGCGGAGCCTCAGCCGACCGGGTGTGCAGAGGCTGGGGGAGCCCGGCTTAGAACCGTCCAGAACCACCAGGCCTCCGGAGGCTCCTGGGAGACGCTGCAGACGCCGGGGGGAGGCAAAGGGCGAGGGGAGGGCGCGGCTGCAGGCTTGGGGCGTGGAGGTCAGGAGCGGACGCCCGGGCTCTGCAACAGCTGGGCAGATCCGGTCCTGTGGAGATGCCCCCAGGACACACTGACGGCTCCTGTCTGCTGGTCCCCAGCGGATCCCTCCGCGCAGATGCCCGGACAGGGCACCAGCAGAGTCACACCAGCGTTGGGCATCCAACGGCGGATCTCCAAAGGCTCCATCGCTCTTCCCCTGCAGGGTCCAGGGGGCCGTGCGCAAGGCCGGTCATTACTGTGGCAAATGCATTCCCAGACAGGCGAGTCATGGGAGAAAACCGTGCGGGCCCAAGTGGCCGCTGTGTGCTGCCCACTCGCCTCATCGAAGTCACACTCAAAGCACTCGGTCCTGGCTTCGACCTGCAACTGAACCCCAGTACCACCATCACATCTCAGATGAGGGATGCAGAGACGGGCGGGGGGTCCGAAGCCCAAGCCTCCCAGAACTTGCCCAAACTCTGGCCTTCCAGACAAGTGTTGGCTGTTCGTGGTATGGAGAGGTACCAACTCTCTACAACTTGGCTGCAGAGCCACTCTAATATGGAGAGGAGGATCTTCCCAGACCCAGGCTGGGTGCAGAGCACTGGTCTAGCCTCAGCATCCTCTCAACTCTGTCATCCCAGCAACTGCACACACACTTCTGCAGCTGGTTGAACAAACACCATCTTGGGGAAGAGAGGCCCAGAGAGGAGGGACAGGCTGAAATCTTTGCTAATTAGACCTCTGACAGGATTAGTATTCGAAATATATAAAGAATCCAAAAGACTAAATGTCAAGAAATCAAACCCACCAACGAATAAATAGGCATTATAATGAACAATTTTCCGAAGATGAAGACACATGGCCAATGAACATGAAGTCAAAGTCAGCAGCCACCAGAGAACTGCAATTAAAATCACACTGAGAAGTATAATAAATAATAAAATTTCACTTCAGTCAGAACAGCAGTCATCCAGACCACAAATGGCAGATAAGGACAGAGATAAAAGGGGCCCTTAACACATTGCTGGTGGGAGTCCAGCCTCTACAGAAACCAGTGTAGCGAGTTCTTAAAAAACTAATAGATCTGGGGGTGGGGGGTGTACACCTCTGATCCCAGCACTTGGGAGGCAGAGGCAGGCAGATCTCTGTGAGTTTGAGGCCAGCCTGATCTACATAATGAGTTCCAGGGCAGCTGGGGCTACAGGGAGACCCTGTCTCAAAAAGACAACAACAACAACAACAACAAAAAAAAACCCAGCCCTAACACATCTTCCATATTTCCCTGAGGGACAGCATGTCAGCCCATACAGAAACATTTGCACACCATGTTTATGTTTAATGTCGATTATTCACAGTAGCTTTGGAACCAACCTAAGAGTCCAGCAATAGAGAGATGGATAAAGAAAATAAGACACATATACATGGTGAGACTTAAAAATTTTATGTTTTGCCTGCATGTATGTAAGGTCACCCAGGTTATGCAATGCCCTTAGAGGCCAGAAGAGGGTGTGGGATTTCCCTGGACCTGGAGTGATGCACAATTGTTAGGCACCACATGGGTGCTGGGAACTGAACCCAGGTCCTCTGCAAGAGCAGCCAGTGTTCTTAACCACTGAGCCATCTCTCCAGGCCCTACAGGATATAATTTTATTCACACAAAGAACAAAAGATGGACCCAACTGGAGATTATCATAGTAAGTGAATTAAGTCAAACTCAGAAAAATATTACATATTTTCTCTCATTGTGGATCCTAGATTTATGTAGATTCATAAATAAAATCATGTATGTGTGTATGTACATATCATGAAAGTAGATTTAAAGCTGTCTCAAGGAACAAAGGGACTAAGCGGGGAGGGGAGAGCGGAGTACAGGGTATGGTCAAAGTACATGATATGTATGAAAATGTACGCACTTTGTATGAAAATATCCGTATAAAACCCAGTAAGTGCAATGAATATACTTCAATTAAAAAAAAAGAGGAGGGGCTGGAGAAATGGCTCAGCAGTTAGGAGGAGGACTGGGGTTTGGTTCCCAGCACCTACACGGTGGCTAACAACCATCCATAACTCCAGTCCCAGGGGATCTGACACTCTCTTCTGACCTCCATGGGCATTGCATGACATGGGTGCACTTACATACATGCAGGCAATACACTCATAAACATAAAATAGAATTTTTTTTTGGTCTTTTTGAGACAGGGTCTCTCTGTAGCTCCAGCTGTCCTAGAACTCACTATGTAGACCAGGCTGGCCTTGAACTCACAGAGATCCACCTGCCTCTGCCTCTGAGTGCTGGGATTAAATGCGTGCGCCACCACACATGGCTAAAATAGAATATTTTTAAATGAGTATTTTGGCAGGGTCTCTCAGTAGATAACAGGGATGAGATCACAAGTCAGGTCTCCACATGGTGCATATCCTGCATGTGTCCAATAAGCTTGCCTGTGGACCACTGCAGGTCTTGTTTCTTTGAAATGATGATTCATTCCCCCAAAAGCCTGAAAACAAGACAGGAGGCGCACAGGCTCGGCCGGAAGTGCAGGCTGGAGCACCAAAAGACTGGCAACCGCTAGCTCTCAAGTGTCTTCTCCTAGTGATCAGGCTTAAACCCTTCTTGTATTTTCTCTATTTGCCAGCTTTATTTTCTAGACATTTCCTTTTTATTTTATTTTCTTTTAAAAACAGTTGGGGTGCATACCTGTAACACCAACACTTGAGGGGTAGGGGTAGATGGGTCAGGAGGAGTTCAGTCACCCTTGGCTACCTCTGTGGGAATAATTTACGACATGGGCACAAATGACTTTTTCCTAACCTTGAAACCAATCATCTTAGCTTGTTTATAAAGCAGACAAGCAGAGGCTGGAGGGAGGGCTCAGCAGTTAAGAACACTGACTGCTCTTGCAGAAGACCCTGGTTTGAATCCCAGCACCCACACGGCAGCTAACAGCTGTCTGTAACTCCAGTTCCAGGAGATCTGACCTCTTCTGTCTTCCGTGGGCATTGCACAACACTGGTACACTTACACACATGCAGGCAATACATGCACACACATAAAATAAAAATAAAAATAAAAATATTTTTTAAAAAATAAAGCAGACAAGCTCACTGAGCCTTGAGCTCCTCTTATGACCTGGGCATATGGCCTTAATCTTTCATGACCCTTCCTTGCCCTGCACCCAAAAGCAATGTATGAATGTGTGTGTGGCTAGTTCAAGAAAAGGCTGCTAACAGCACAGAATACAGGAAGCCATGAAGATTGGCTTCCACTTGTAAACAGTAGACGGGATTTAACTGTTTGTGGTTGTGGGTGTGATATTATAGGTCGGAAGGGACATAATCACCTAAGGCAGAGCCTTCTGCCTTTCCCTTTCCCGTTGATACACAGCTTCAATAAAAGTGTGAGCCCTTGTTTGAGAGAGTTCTGAAGGAACAGGTTCTTTTTTCAAAAAATATTTTATTTATTTTTATGTTATGTGTATGAGTGTATTGCCTGCATGTATGTGAGTGCACCTGTGTCATGCAATGCCACGGAGGTCAGAAAAGGGCTCCAGATTCACCTGGGACTGGAGTTAGGATGGTTTGTAGCTGCCATGTGGGTGCTGGGAATCGAACCTGGGTCTTCTGCAAGAGCAATCAGTGCTCTTAAGCACTGAGCCATCTCTCCAGCCCCAGGAACAGGTTCTTAGTTCAGGTCTGCTCTTGTCTTAAAAATGGATGCTGACTCAGGTTGCTTTTTATTTAGGTATAGTCCATAAGGTGGCATCAAGTTGTAAATGCTGCACATATCCATTTGAAGGCCAGCCTGGGGCGCCTGAGCTTATCTCAAACAAACAAAACAAAACAAAAAAACAAAGAACGGAGTCGGGGGCTGGGAGCATGGCTCAGTTGGTAGAGTGCTTGCCTAGCATGCATAAGGCCCTGGGTTCAATCCCCAGCACTATAAATTAGGTGTGGTGATGCATGTCTATAATCCCAGGCCTGGGGAGGTGAAGGCTGGACTGTCAGGAGTTCACAGTCATGCTCAACTGCACAACGAGTTCCAGGCCAGCCTGGCCTACTGTGCGCTTATGGGATAGAAAGATGGGTTTAGTCTATGCAGGGGAGGAACGGCAGAGGAGAGACTGAGTGGAGAGTGTATTCAGGAGGAGAAACCAAAAGGGAAAGAAGGAGGCAGCATGGAAATTTGAGTTTCTTTGAAGGACTGAGACCTTTGCTGGGTAATGTGAACCCTTGTATTTTCCTAGAAAACAACTCAGTGAACCTTCATTCTTTCTTCAATACTCTTGGGGTTGTTTTATTAAAAACTAAAACATTTTGAAATTGGTCTTAGTTACAAAGTAGGGCCACCCCAGAGTGCAGCTATTTAATTCACGTGACACAAATATTTACTGAGCTATGCTGTGTGGTAAGTGCCTATTCTTCACCTACTAGATGCTGCAGTTACTATCTAGACTTGTTCTCACATAACCAATAAGGAACATAGGACGTACTTGAGAAGTCTGCCAGTGGCCATCCCAGAGTTCAGTGCTCCCAGATCCGATGAGAATAACTCATGCCTCAGACCCACCTCAGATTCTGGTCTTCCTTCTTTCAAATAAGCCCTGGTTGTCTGAGAACTCTGCTCCAGGACACATGACTTCAACAGTTCAAAGATGCACTTTCTATGTCTAGGTTATGGTGGAAGAGAGGGAGATCATTTCTCCAAACCAAAGGACAGAAATGGTTGTATGGACATACGCTAAATTTCTGAGAAAACTGTAGGCAGGACTATTTAGGACAAGAATAAGGGAATGAGGATGGAGAGATGCTCAGTGATTAAGAGCACTGGCTGCTCTTGCAGAGGACCCCCACTTGGTTCCCAGACCCCACATGGCTGCTAACAACCACCTGTAACCCTAGTTCCAGGGGTATCTGACGCCCTCCTTTGGCCTCTGAGGGCACTGCACACACATGGCACTCAC